TGACCCAGGTGGACAAGCATTCCATAGTCTGCCTTTCCACTGGACAGGTCTGTATGTTTGCTTTTGCAAATTAAGAGCCACAGCTGCTGAAGAAGATCGAAATGTAGTCCTGTTAACTCAGTGTCATAGAGATGATTTTACTTTGCCAAAGTAGAACAGACTACCATGCTGTGTAAATCAAAACCTAAAAAATCTTCTAAAAATATATATCAATGATAATTTAGATACTGCTATATAACAGATAGATATAGAAGTAAAGTTATTTTTCTGTCATCAGCAGTAGGGACGATTAACATTTGCCGATCCAATCTTTATTACACTACTAGTGACATTTATATACACATTTTTTGTCAGTTATTCTACATCATTGCCCTAGCAGCCCACCTCTCATCAGTGTGTCCTGATTGCAAGGCAGGCTTGGGGGCATTATGAGGGAGCCTTGTCTGTGAGACCCTCGCTGGATTTGAACTCTCAACCTATTGTTCCAAAGAGAGCAGTGTTGCCATTACACCATCCAGCTGCATGTCCCAGAGACAGGAACAGCAAAGATACTGCGCAGCAGCCTCAAGCTCACAGGCCTCTGGTAGAGGACCTAAGCTTGAAGGACAAACAAAGAGTGGGGAATTATTATTTTTATATAAATAAATGTTATTTAGGGGGGGTAATAAAGTTTGGACTTCATGTAGACAAAAAGAAATGGAGTAAAATTATGAATCACCCCTAATCCTGACAAAATAAATAAATAAAACTCAAAATGTACTTATATATATATATATATCTATATATATATATCTATGTATTCTCATTCATCCAGGCTTATATGGACAGTACTGCTACAGTGAGAGAAATTGCTTTTGTAATTTCACCCGGAGAGCAGAGCTGAATTAACCCAAAGTGATTTCCTGTACTCTGCTTACATGTATTGATCTTCCTGCAGAATAATTTAAAGCTGAATGAGCTCTTGGTGAGTGTACCCATTTAATGAAGGATCTTGTGGCAGAATCAGCGAGAGGCTATCTGCTTTTCTATGTCCGGATTTAGAAGAGTTTGCTCCTTGATCCAAAACATCTGAATAGCTTTTCATATCTCCCTTGATACTCGAGTCTATATCAGTGTAATAAAATCATGAGATGCCAATATATTTAAAAAAAACAAAACAAAAAACAACTATGTTGAGTAGTTGAAAGAAACTTCTACAATCCTGATCATCACCTAAGTCAATCTAACAGCTTAGTTGTGTCAGTTTCATAGGCCAAGTTTTCTGGGATCCACCACCTGCAGTGACACTCAGCAGTGTAGCAAAGCAGACCTTTTAATACTGCAATGAATCAAACTATTACAGTTAAGGTCTCTCTGAGCAGGAGAAAGGACAAACACTCCTTGGGGACACCTTACACTAAATCAGCACTATAAATATCAGCGGCCACAAT